CCTGGGGTGCAAAAAAAAGTGGGGGCCACATTTTAACCAGACATCACAAAAATGTTATTAAAGTGCTCTACTACCTAATCAAATCTCCTCAGTTATAATCATGTACTTTACATTTAATGCATAAAATATTTGTATTTATATTGCCATTAATGTATAATAGATACAAAAGAAAAACAAACAACAATCCACTCACTATAAAAACCAGCATATTACAAAATGTTACTCAGGCCCTCATACTATGATGGTACATTCGAAAAAATCTAAGCAACCATAAATTGACAAGAGATTATTTGAAACTTGGAATGCACAGGTCAGGTTCATAAAAAAAACAGTAGTACAAGAATTGGTATAACAAAAGTTACATTTAGTCAGCGCACAGGAGGCTAGCTGGGAAACAGGTGGAAATTGGAGTGATAACTATTGCTTATAGGCAGCCTTTATTGTACATATGATCATAATTGTATCAAAAGTTTGAAACAGTAGTTTCTTTGTACTGTATGTTGTGTTTAAAACTAATAAGAGGTTACACAGCTTATCCGTATTCATTTTGTTTGGGTCCTGCAACCAATGAAATGGGATTTTCTCCCTTCAATCTATTAATTTTTAACATTCTTCATCAAACCAGAGTTTACTTTGCTTTCACCTGTAGTATCCTAGGCTCTCTTTGGCTTAAATTTTGATACAGTTTCTGACATTTTCCCACTCCCTGTTGATACCCAGACATTCATCCTTATCTGCCTCTAAAATTTGTCATTAGGAAGGTACAAGAACACAAGGAAGGGTTGGAACCACACCGAGAACATCAAGCTTCGGTCAATGCTGATAATTTATTGGGTAAAAACAAACATTTGGCAATAAATCAAAATTGCAATTTAAGAATATGGAGAATTCTGAATTCAAGGAATGCTTACTACCAAACACTTCCCTGCTGCTATCGGAAAATATATGAGATAAAAACATACAATACCATTAATTCTATTGGCTGTATTGTAAATGAAACCTGCCTCTTACAACATTGAATATGAGGTTTAAGAAAACTGTGTAGTAGGAGTCCGATAATATGTAATGATCAACGCAAGGAGGACATGATAAGCAGGTCACATAGCATGTATGCAGCTAGAAATGCACTTGAAATTTTGATCAGAAAACTTGATGGGAAGAGACCACCTGTAAGACCTAAACACAAATGGGAGGTTAATATTAAAACGGATCTTGATCAAATAGCGTGTGGATTGGATATATGTGGCTCAGGATAGGAACTGCTCGCAGGCACATGAGAACACAGT